TTGCGCTTGCCAGGCAGGCGCTTTTGCCGCTGAGCTAAATCCCCAGCCCCTGTAGTGATATTTTAAAAAAGCACATCCTTCATGACATACAAGTCCATGTGAACAAAGTTCCACTGAACAATATATTTTGTGGAAGGTAAGTGGTATACTAGGAGAATAAAGGATGGTGGCAAAAAAGCAGATTTAGTTGGCCACTTCAGAACACTAAAGCAATTTCTATACATACTTAAGAGGGTTTCATGTCTACAACGTGTATACATATATATTAAATTTTTACTCAAGTTCAGTGAGGAACATTGAGTGAAATTAACTTTTCTGACTTCCTCAAATATTTTGCATAAAATGTAAAGGGTCCTACGATGTGTATAGTACATTTCTGAACTGATTATGCATAGAATTGAGTTAATGTAAACAGTGATACCTATGTGAAACATTATATCGATTGGTTTAGTTTCCATCTCATCTAATGCAAAATCATCCAGTACTTGGGCTAACTTTGTAGGATCCCTCGGGAGTAACAGAAGTTAATGATAATTCTCAGGTCAAGAAAAAAGGCAATTTCTGAAGGTTTCTATTCTCAGGAGAGAGCTGCCTTAATAAGAAGGTGCCTCAAATTAGGTCACGGGCATTCCCGGTCCTAGACACAGTAAAGAAATCTGTTCTGCAGGACTCTAGCAACTATGGTGTTTCAAGTACCAGGTGAGAAAAAAATCAAGCTTTTCTTGAGTTGAATTTGAAACCAACATTGGGTCCAAAGAAATTTTGAGTTACTGGGGAGAGGAATCACAGAATCTTGGGAAGTGTTTTTTTTTTTTTTTTTTTTCCTGTGAAATCATCCTAATTCTTTAGACTGAAACTAAAGTGTCTGTGAACCCCATAGAATGAAGTGGGTTTAAAGCATTTGTGAACTAGTGAACTCAAATACTATCCATACTTATAGCTTTCATTTTGAGGATAACCTCACTGCTAAACATAAGCATTTTTTGAGGCCAAAGAGGTTAGATTCTGAAAAGACAAAGAATCCATGAACAAGACATTGACAAGAAATCAAGCAGCAGATGAGTCCAGGTGGTACACACACACACACACACACACACACACACACACATGGCAGAGTGCATAATTCTCGAATGGAAAATGAGTTTTCTAAACCTGATCTATAAAACCATGTAAAATTCTAAATATTCCCCTAAATAAATGGGAATATGCTCATGGAGCCAATGAAATTATTAATTTTTGTTCTTTTTTCCATATAACATAAAATTTAAATAATCACTGTAGTCCCTTCTGCAAGTGTCCCTCAAATTAACCTAGGTTGATATTCTGATCTATTTAATAATGTTAGAAATGAAGTAAGGGAGCAACAAGCAGAGCCCTTATAATTGTTACACTTGATATCAAAACAAAGAAGATGAGGCCTTGAATCTTTTATCCTTTTCTCTAGGATTCGCTCAGACTCAAGGGTCTTTTTAAGTAGATCACAGGAGAAATACTTACTGCATCTAAGCAATAGGTTATATGCTCCCAGAGGGGAAATGAAGATTTTTGTTTTCTTTGGTTTTTCTGAGACAGGGTCTCGCGGTGCATTTCAGGCTGGTCTTGAACTCAGGGTGATCCTCTGACCTCAGCCTCCAAAATTCTGAGATTCTAGGAGTGTACACCATGCCCAGGTGGGAATGAAGATTTTGAAGTGTGTATTTACAGAAAGATTCACAAAAATATAGTGATGACATTGGTGAACAAACGAAGGGGAAAGACTTTATGATTAGTGTATGAAATATTTAATAGTTTAATTGTATGTAGGAGGATTACATAGAAACATGCATATGTAGGCAACACGTGTTCAGTTTTATGAACACTGAAAGTGTTGAGAGGTGAGCTTTGACAATGTGTGTGCCATGAAATATGTGGGAAGGAGACCCAAGTATATTCAGCACATGTTTTGTCTAGGATAAGTAAATTATACATATTATAATGGAGATGTCCTGTATGTCTTACATATTGTACATTATAGGTAGATATCTAATACATGTCTTATTTTTAATGAAAGTAGTTCATATTGCTAGTTTTTATATTTGATATAAGTTTAAAATCTATTTAGGAGCTAGGCATCTGGACAAAATCATGCGTCAAGGATTTGGCTAAATAAAGTAAGAGCAAATGATCAGTACTGAACCTAATCTATGAAGTAGGCTAATACAATAATTCTTTTTCTTCTTTTTTTTTCAGTACTGGGGATCGAACTCAGGACCTTGCGCTTGCCAGGTAGGTGCTTGTGCCACTGAGCTAAATCCCCAGCCCCAATATTCTTGTTAATTATAGACTGGAAACAAATTTTCACTGTTGCACATTTATAGTCATTATGAAAGAACCCTTATGCATTATTAAGTAAAATTTTAAAATTTCTCCATAAAATTAGGAGTTATTTGGATGAGCAATAAATGTTATATGGATAAGCAATAAATATCTATAGTTGTGACCTTTACATTGTGAATTTTATAGAAACATTTCTTCTTTTTATTATCTTATGTGAACAGTTTAAGAGAAACCATGTTTTACTAAGTAAGTTGCTAATTATCACAATTTTTCCCAAGTTATATAATGGCACATTTTTTATTTTAAAGGTTTAGAAAGCTAACAAAACAACAATGAAGACAAAATTAAAAAGAACTGTTAATGTATGATTTTTTGATCAGTCTTACATGTCTATATCTGGTTGTATGTGCAACCATTTTGAAGATAACATTAAGTAATATAAAAACCATTGTTAATATTCTATCACCTTGTTTTGAAATTCAGTATCATTTTTATTGTTTTGTTTATGTATTTGTTTTTGTTATTTTTTTCTTTTCTCTTTAAAATATAATGTCACTTTAAATAGGGTGAATTTGTCACAAATGATATGAGTTGTTATACACTGTAAATAAAAGTCAATTGGTGGAAAATAATAAAAATACATCCCCAAAACATCAAAGCTTATTCTTAGGGACCAGAAACAGAATTATTATTTCAAATACAAAAAACATTTCCCAAACGATATCATATACTTTTAATTTCTACATTCATCTCTCAGTGGAAGAAATAAAACAACAGATCAAAACGTGTTATAAACAAGTAGCCTAACATTTTTCATTTCTGGCCAAGGCTGAAAAAAATTCTAGAATAATATGTTACTAATAATGTAGAAAATTGACATTCCCTTAACTATCTTGTGAGCCACTACTTTGAAGATAACAGTATTCAATATAATAACCATTGTTAATTTCCTATTTTCTTGTTTTGAAATTCTGCATCATTTTCATTGTTTTTTCTTTTCTCTCTAAAATAAAAAAAGAAAATTGAGACTCTACATCCTTTTATTGAAAACTTCACTTAACAGATTATTTTTTAATAATCTTAGGACAGTAAAACTGAAAATCAAAATGCCTTCCTGTTTCTAGGAATCATTTCTCTTTAGTCTATATAAAAGGAGAAATTCTGTGCAGGAGTTCTGTGAAGATAAAAGTCATGAAAGTCAAAGCATCTGTAGGTCCGACTGGACTCTGAAATGTACAACACATCGATATCAGAGAGACGCATGCTAGAAAATGTAATGGATCTGAATTCCTGCAGGCTTAAATCTGCATTACTGCGGCATATGAGGCTTTCTGTGATTGGACTCTGCCCTGCTTTCCAGCCTCATTGTTCCTCACAGCGCCACTTATGTTATGATGCTTTGCACTAAGTGGTGTGGATGCGTCAGCCAAGGGAGAGGCCATGGGCTGCATAATGATCATCTTCGCAGATCGTATTTATTAAACCCGGTTTATGTTAAGCCTTGCATGAAAATTTGTGGGGACATAGAAAGATACACAGAAAGATGTATGGCTCTCCAGGGACACATGCATCTAATAGAAATGACAGATATTCATATGAGACATAAAAGGAATATAAACTACCTATGTACTAAGTGTCCAAGAGTAGCAGAAAAAAGAGCAGTCTCCACATACATCTCTCTAGTCACACTGTACTTTAGGTTTATGTTTCCTTAAAAAAATATGATTGAGGGGAAGCAAGGAAAAGTGAAGAGGAGATAGTGGTGTTCATCTGTGCCTTCTCTTTGTGAAGACATGTCACATGGCTTATCAGCTGCTTTGTTTAGTCTTCCTGTTTTCTCATCTTCAAAACTGTCATGAATTACAACCTGATTTGATAATACAAAGGACAAGATATGTGTAAATTTTGGAAATTTCTTGAGTGCTTGGTTCTATAATTTAGGAGGTTTTGTTTGGCAAACTCAAGTGTGTTACTGTGACTTGTTGCAGTCAATCATATGCAAACATGAAACTGGTCCACAGGGTTGAAGGCCTGGAGCACACTACAGAGAAAGAACCTTTGATAACACCACTTCTCGATGGATATTAGTAGAGGCATACTTTTATTAATTCAGTCAATAAATATTTCTAAATACTATACTGTATTGGCAATGAGAAAGTGGTTAAAATGTATCTATCCCTTTGAAAATGCACAGTAGTTGAGACAGATGATACAGAAATAAATACATGATACATTCTGATTAAAACAACAGCAGTGATAGGGACGACACATGAGAGAGAAGGCACCCTAGCTGTGGAGAGAGGTTTCACAGAAAAAAATAATGTTTATACTTCACCTAGAGGATAAGTAAAACTATGGCTTTCTGAGGTAGACAAGTAAGGGGCTATTAATTCTGCTTTATCTCCTGTGACTCCATTTGTCTACTTGCCTACAAGTACTAACCTTTTGCTATAAACTATGTAGGGAAAGCAAAGTAGATTTGTAAAGTGCTACACAGTAGAAATAAAATTTGTTCTTTCTCTTTCAATTATATAATAGCTCGAAATAACATGATCAAACAACAAGGTATTATTTCCTCTGTTAAGGCACAGAATCTATGATAGGAAAGATTATTTTTAAGTTCAGCAATGAAAAAGCCTAGAGGATATACTCAGTATATAAAAATTACACAATCATACATTAACATGTGTTTCTGGGACATTTCATTAGGACAAGTATGCTATCCTGAGATCACACTACCAGTCAACACCACTAGCACCATCTTCTCCAGCTTCCTGGTCACAGGCATCCCAGGGCTGGAGGCTGCACACATTGGCATCTCCATACCCTTCTGTGCCATGTTCCTCATTGCCCTGGTGGGCAACGTGACCATCATGACAGTTATCTGGAGGGAGCACACCCTCCATGTGCCTATGTACCTCTTCCTGGCCATGCTGGCTGCCTCTGATCTGGGCCTGTCACTCTCCACCTTCCCCACCTTGCTGCGCATCTTCTGGCTGGATGTGCGAGAGCTCACATTCCCTGCTTGCTTCTCTCAAATGTTCTTTATTCACACCTTCCAGGATGTTGAGTCTGCTGTTATTCTGGCCATGGCTTTTGACCGCTATGTGGCCATTTCTCGTCCACTGCACTATTCTTCCATCCTCACTCACAGGGCGATTGCCAAGATAGGTTTGACTATTGAGGTTCGAACTTTGACAGTACAGATACCCCTGCCTATCCTTTTGAAGAGGCTGTGCTTCTGTCGCTCCAATGTACTTTCTCATTCCTACTGCCTGCATCCTGACATCATAAAGCTCTCCTGCTCCAATACCAGGATCAATAGCATATATGGACTATTTGTGCTGCTGTCCACCATGGGACTTGACTTCCTCCTCATTCTCCTTTCTTACGTGCTGATTCTGAAAACTGTGCTGAGCATTGCATCCCATGGTGGGCGCCTCAAGGCTCTCAACACCTGCATCTCCCACCTGTGTGCCGTGGTCCTCTTCTTCACACCCATGATCTGCCTGTCCATGCTGCATCGCTTTGGCCCAAGGCTTCCCTCCCACATCTACGTGACCCTGGCCAACATGCACTTCCTCATTCCTCCTGTGATGAACCCCATTGTGTATGTCCTGAAAACTAAGCAGATTCGAGATGAAATCTTGAAACCCTTCTTTAAAAAAGGGTTAGAAAAATCTCGTCATATTTATAACTTAAATCTTATTAAATGAATTTAATCTTCATTCTGATATGCTCTCTGAAATGTGGTCTTACATGTATCTCTACATTGATATAGAAAAAATTGTTACATGGTCCCCAAATTGCATAAGCTGTAATTTTCTTTCATCATTAGATACTGTTAAAATTTATCACTTGCTTTTCATTTTATATTTCTGATGCTATTTTCAATCTCACTTTATTTTACAAAATATCACCAAGAAATTGTCCTTAGCTTTTTAAGGATTAATTTATTCATTATATTTTTGTTGGGTGATTCATTCGAATTCAGTAACTCCTCATTCATTATATCAATATTTACATGGTTTTTCTAAGTAGGAGACATCTCTTCGTTGATCTTTCTATAGTTTATTACGGCAAATAAGTTGTCACTTCTAGAGAAGCATAGATATATAATAATTGTATTGAGTAAGGTCAGTACTTTCTTATTCCAGTTGAATGAAATTACACTGAGATAACTAATTCTTATAAAATCATTTAAAGAAGGAAAACTTTAAAAAGCTGTTTAGTTATTGGTATGGCTGATGCTAAGGCTCAGAGAAGGTGACTATCATTTCTTAAGTGAGTATAAGGCCAGTAATTGTTTTCTTATCTGTCTTTTCTCACACATTAGTTAGTACAATAATGGCATCTTTGACCTGTTCTTAGAGTCTTTAATTTTTGTAGTTGTGGAAATAAAATTCCTTTTTTAATATTTTTTATGAAAAAAAAATTCCATACCGAAATAATAGTTAATTAAAATTCTTGATACTCATATAAAGCAATAAAGGTTATTGTTCACTCCATAACTAAAATCTCATGTGTAATAGAGATTAAGCACCTTCACAAGATCATGCTGAGAATAATCTCCTAAATAATCTCTTAAATAGATGACACAGTAACTAGGTAGTTATTTTAGACTAAATTTAGCAAAATAATATGTGGCTGCTTTTAGAACATCTCTAATAATCATGAAATTTTCAAGAAATTTCACCTAACAATATGTATACATTATACTCGTTTGAATATATGCACCTTGCATCTTTCCATGGTTCGATTTTCCTATGTGCTACATTTAGTGCCATTTTCCTATTGTAATGGTACCTTGGTTGAATCTGTATAACAGTTTTGGGAGTATGACCATTTTCACAATGTTACTTCTACCTATCCACTAGCAACAAGTATCTTTCCATTTTCTGAAATCCTCTTCGATCCCTTTTTTCAGAGTACCGTAATTTTCACTGTATAGATTATTTATTTCCTTTGTTAGATTGATTCCTATGTATTTCTTTTTTTAGATGCTACTATGAAAGTTGTAGTTTCCCTAATTTCTCTCTCAGTGTGTTTGTTGTTTGTGTACAGGAATGCTATTAATTATCATTGAGGGTTGACTTTGTATCCAGCTGTGCTATTGAATTTGTTTATGAATTCTAGCAGTCTTTTAGTAGAGTTTTTGGAGTCTTCCATGCAGAGGATCATGTCATCTGTAAATAGTGATTTCTCTTCTTCTTTCCAATCCTCATTCCTATTATTTATCTCTCTTGTCTAATTGCTCTGGCTAATGTTTCCAGAACTATATTGAGTAGATGTGGTTACAGTGGAAATCTTTGTCTTCTTCCTGATTTTACAGTGAAAGGTTTCAGCATTTGTCCATTTAGTATGATGCTGGCTGTTGGTTTGTCGTAGATGGCTTTGATCAGATTGAGGTAAAGACCATCTATCATGATTTTCTGTAGGGTTTTTACCAAGAATGGGTGCTGGACTCTGTCAAAAGCTTTTTCTATATCAGTTGAGGTGATCATGTGATTTTTATCTTTGCCTCTGTTGATATGGTGTATTACATTTATTGATTTGTATATATCAAACCGTCCCTGCATTCCTGGGATGAATCCTACTTGGTCATGGTGTATTACGTTCTTGATGATTTTCCATATTATATTAGTTAGTGTTTTATTAAGAGTTTTTACATCTATGTTCATTAGGGTGATTGGCCTATAGTTCTTTTTGTTGGTTGGGTCTTTTTTTGGTTGTGGTATTAGTAATGCTGGACTCCAGGAATGAGTTTGACAGAATTGCTTCCCTTTCTATTTCTTTAAAGAGTTTGAGCAGAATTGGTGTTAAGTATTCTCTAAATATTTTGTAGAATTCAGTTGTGAATCTATCAGGACGTGGACTTTTGTTTGATGGTAAATTTCTTATTACATTTTTAATTTCATTGGTTGATATTGGGTTATTCAATGTTTTTATATCTCTTGATTCAGGTTTGGTAATTCATATGTATCTATGAATCTGACCATTTCTTTTGTGTTTTCCATCCTATGAGAGTATAATTTTCTAGGTAGGTACTGATGAACTTCTGAATTTCTACAAGATCTATAGTGATTTCACCCCTTTCATTCCTTATTGCATATATTTCAGTTTTTTCTTTGATTTTTTTGATAAGACCCACTTCCCTGTCTGAAAGGCGATTCTTGGCTAGGGGTTTATCAATTTTATTCATATTTTCAAAGAGCCAAGTCTTTGAGTCATTAATTCTTTGCATTGTTTTCTTAGTTCCAATTGCATTAATTTCTGCTGTAGTCTTTATAATTTCCTCCCGTTTTAGGGATTTGGACTTAACTGACTCCTTGTTTTCTAGAAGTTTCAAGTTCAGCATATGGTTGTTTAATTGTGTTCATTCTGTCTTCCTGATTTGGGAATCCACTGCTATAAATTGTCCTATGAGGACTGCTTTTATTGCATCCCACAGGTTACAGTAGTTTATATCTGCATTTACATTTGATTGTAAATATTGTTTAATTTGTTCTTAAATTCTTCTGTTACCCATTGCTTGTTCAGGATGATGTTATTTAATTCCCATGTGTTTATGGAATTTTTGTGATTTCTTTTATCATTACTTTTCAGTTTCATCACACTATGGTCTGATAATATGCTTGGGATAATTTCAATTCCTTTGCATTTACTTAAGCATGTTCTCTGTGCTAGTATGTGGTCTATTTTAGAGAATGCCCCCTGTGCAACTTAGAAGAATGTGTATTCCAAAGTTGTTGGGTACAATTCTCTGTAAAGGTCTAGCAAGTCCATTTGTTCACAAGTTTGGTTTAGTTCTGTTATTTCTTTGCTGATCTTTTCTCTACTTAATCTATCTGTTCCTGACAATGGGGGGTTAAAAATCACCAATTATAATTGTATTATTACTTGTTTGATTTTTCATGTGTGTTAAAATTTGCCTTATATAATTGGGTGCTCCATAATTTGGGGCATATATATTTATGATTGCTATCTCTTCTTGAAGTTTTCCTCTCACAGGCATGTGGTGACCTTGTTTATCTCTTCTGATCATTATTGGTTCAAAGTTCACTATGTCTACATATAGAATAGCTACTCCTGCTTTTTTCTGGGTTCCTGTCACGTGGAATATTGTTTTCCATTCTTTGACTTTCAGTCTATGAATTTTCTTTTGAGTTAAATGCATTTCTTATATGCAACAATGTTGTTGGATTTTGTTTCTTGATTTACTCTACCAGTCTGTTTCTTTTGATTGGTGAATTGAGTCTGTTTTTATTAATGGATATTATTGATATGTATTGAGTTATCTTTGTCATGTTATTTTCCCACTATTGGTTTTGTATTTTCCCCTTCTGTTTAATTGCTTTCCTTGCTTATTGGTTCTTTTCTATTGTTGGTTTTGAAATTGTGGTCATTTTTATCTCTTTGTAGAATATCTTTCAGTACTCTTGTAGGCTTGGTTTGGTGGTCATGAATTTCTTGAGTTGATCATTGTCATAGAAGTATCTTATTTCTCCATCAGTTTCAAAAGATAACTTTCCAGGGTGCAGCAATCTGGATCGGAATGTTTTTCTTTTGGAACCTAAATTATTTCACTCCATGTGGTTCTTGACTTCATGGTTTGTGTAGAGAGGTCTGCCATGATTCTGATGGGTTTTCCTTCATGGATGATCTGTTTCGGGTCTCTAACAAATTTTATTTTATTTTATTTTTTTTTTTGGTTTTTCTCTGGTACCAGGAACCGAACTCATGACCTTGCGCTTGCCAGGCAGGCACTTTTGCCGCTGAGCTAAATCCCCAGCCCCTCTAACAAATTTTAGTATTCTGTTCTTTTGCTGAATGTCTGGAATCTTGATTATTATGTGTCTTGGTTTACATTTATTTTGCTTATGGCTAATTGAGATTCTATATACATCACTTATGTGTATGTAAGTTTCATCTCCCATGCTTGGCAAATTTTCTGATACTACTTATGCAAATAGTCGTTTTACATCATTCATGTTGCCTCCTGCTCTTTCCTTGACATCTGTCAGCCTCGTATTATTTTTCTTTGTCTCATCTTGCAGCTGTTGAATTGTTATTTACTGTTCCTTTGTTATTTTTAAAAGATCTTTCCTTTAGCAATCACTAGCTACAGTACTGTCTTCAAGGTCTGAAAGTCTATCTTCAGTTTTGTTCAAGCAGTTTTTCCAGCTATCAATGGAATTTTTAACTTCCTGAATGTCTCTTTAAATCTGTTTCATGCATTCTAATTCTTTCCTATACTGTTCATTCAAGGTTTACATCATTTTTCTGTGCTCCTCTTTTTTTTAAATCTATGTGTTATTTTGATATGCTGAACAATTCTTTTATTATTGTTGTCATCTCCTTTTTTACTTGAGCAATTATTCTGATCTGATTTCCTCTGTAGATTGATGTAGTTGATTCTGTACTTCAGTTGCTATCATTTCTGAAGTTTCAGGTGTGTGACTTCCAGGTTCTTCCATATTGATGTTTCCTGTAGTTGTTCTGGGTTGGGTGAATGGCTGAGATTACACTTTACTTTTTCTTTTTGGCATTTTCAAATCTGCCTAGGTTTCCAGGGATTCAGAATCATTCCTGCAATGGCAGCTGAAGGCAAAATGCTGGGTTTTGGGCTACCAGAACACTAAACAAGGCTTCCCAGAGCTGGGGTCTTTCCACCATAGTGGCATGGGAGAGAGCAAGGGGTCCCAGGGTCCCAGAC